CCCCAAAACCCCAAAACCCCAAAACCCCAAAACCCCATTTTATTAGAAGAATTGGTAATTTAAATTTAAAAATGAGTGCGAGTTATCAAAGAAACATCCAAGACGATTTCGACGATGATGGTGCTGAAGCTATGGAATACGAGCCTTCTGAGAAGAGCCTTGACCAGAAATCCCTCCTTGATGAAATTCCAGAGCCTTGTCAATATGAAAATACAAATGAGACATATGATCCGTCTCAAAATGGGTTCCCTCAGACTTCTCACTTTGGGCCTGACAAAATGTCCCATGGCGGGTACTACAGTAATGGAGATAATTCCCAGAACATTTCCTCTAGCTTTCTGAATTTAAGTGATTCGGATGCTAATAAAGCAGACATAAGCAAGAATATGAACGAAGGGTCTCTAGAGACTGCCGCCAATATGGATACACAATCAAAGCATAATTTTGATAATATTCAGGAACTGAAACAACAAGTTGTTGAGCTCAAGAGGCAGATCTCTCTTAAGGACCAAGACCTGATGTACTGCAAACAGAGAAATGAGAAGTTAACTAATGAAGTTAATAGTTATAAGTCAGGCAGCTCGGCTATTCCCAACCAAAATTTGGAGCACATCCGTCAAGAAAATCAATTTTTAAGGGAGAAATGAGTTGACTCTGAAGCAAAAATTGCTCAAATGGAGGAATATATAAAGGAAGTAATAGAAGACACAGAGGAAGGACAATTGATGCAACTACTCAAGAAGGAAAAAGAGATCAATGAGCGCCTCCAAGAGGAAAAGAATCAACTTTTAGAGTACGTTGAGTCCTCACTTGAAGAGCAAGAAAATGTCACTAAATATATTGAATCTCTTAAAGAAGAGAATGCTAAGCTTAAGCAAGAAGGAAACTCAAAGCTAAGGAGTAGCTCTAATGCTGATTCTGATTACATCCAACATTTTGATACCTTTGGTGGGGAAGGAGATGATACTTTGGTCAAACAAAAGCTTCAAGAAGCCCAAGAAACCATTGAAAAGCTACAAGAGCAGATGTCTCAGCTTGAACAAACCAGACAAATAGAAAATAAATCTAAAAACACAGATATAGAGAACTTGACTGAGAAGTTAAGAATAGCTGAAAGTGATAAAGAAACAGGCTCTAGAGCCATCTCTGATTTTGAGTCCCATTTCAAATCAGAAATTGAAGATTTGAAATCTTCATTAAAAAAATCCCAAGATGAGTTACTAAAAACCACTAATGATAGAGACCAGGCTCAAGTCCAATTGAAGACTCTTGAAAGGGAATATGAAGAAATAGTTACTAAACTACAGAAGATGAAGGATAATTATACTGCAATGGAAAATACCTGAAATGAGACCCAAACAGAGCTAGAGGAGCTTAGAGAGAAATACGACCAAGAAGTAGCAAAAACAGCTAATCATGAGGAAATGAATGAGTATAAGATCAACCTCGAACAAGCCGAAAATGAAAGAGATGCACTAAAGAATTTAAATAAGCAACAAACTGAGACCATTCAGAGCAAAACTAAAAAGGTCGAAGATCTTACTGAGCAGATTCAAGAGCTCAATGCTCAGATCAGAGAGCTAGAGAATGAAGTTGATAAGCTTTCCAGGGAGAAAACTACCCTCAATATGCAGCTAGAACAATCTAAAAATGTCACTGAGTCTCCTGATTATGTTGAGCTTCTAGAAAAATTTACTGAACTTAGGGAAGAGATGGAGAACAAAGATGTTAAATATAAAGAGATGAAGCATGATTTCTCCAAGAAACTGAATGAGTTCCAACAAATGTCCCACGACTACAACGAGTGTAAGCATGCTCTACAAGATCTGAAGTACGGTTACAACAACCTTGAGGCTCAAAAGAAGGAGAAAGATGAGAGATTGAAGCAAATGAGCACTAAGAATGATACTCTTACTGAAGAACTTCAAGCTGTCAAGGAAAAGCACAAGAAAAAGAGCAATTCCGAAATAGAAGAAGCTAATCAAAGAGTAAGAGAAGCTGAGGATGATAATAGAACTCTCCAGAAAATTCTCAAAATCAACAGAGATAAGGCAAACGAGTGTGCTAGACTAGTAGATGAATTTAATGAATCTTTCCTAAACTACGCAAAGGAGGACCATTTTGATAAGAAACTAATCAGTAGAAAATACAGAGACTTCATGATCCTAACCGACAAGATCAAGCCTGCTAAGCAATCAGACCAAATTCAAGATGTTATGGAGAAAGTAGAGGAATGGGTCTTACAATCTGCTGAAGAATTTGAAATCCAAATGAAAAATGCAGCTACCTTTAAAAGAAAGTACCTCCAAGTCAGTGAAAGAGTCGATCAGCTTGAAGACTACCAAATGAACATCACTAATGAAGAGAAAAGAAGGCATAAAAGAGAAGAAGAGCTTAAGAAAGAAATCAACACTCTTAATGCCAAGCTGGGACAAGTAGAATCGGAGAAATCTTGTTCTTACAAAAGGGAAGATAAGTCCTCAAAGCAGCTACATAACCTAAAGCAGGATTTAAAGGCCATTTCTAAGGAGAATCAACGGTTAATCTCTCAGATGAAAGCCGTCTCTACAGAAAAGGATAGGCTCAAGCTCCAGCTAAAAGACAATGATAGGATGAAAGGGTGTGAAAGTGAGAAGATAAAAGATCTAGAGCACAGGATATTCCATCTACTATATGAGAAAGACTCTATCATGGATATGCTGAACACTTTGGAAAGGTCCATCCCAAGCACAGAGGTGCAGAGACTATTCTCAGAGTACATCAACAACCAAAAGGAAATGTTTGATTTGGAAGACAACAAGAATAAGCTAGAGAATGAACTATTGACTAAAGAGAAGGAGTTAAGAGGCACTGCAAAGGAAGAACAGCTTTCACCAGCTGTCATTAACCTTAGGAAGGATATAGAGATCATGAGAAAAGAACTTGCCGATATTGAAAACATTATAGAAGAGACTAAGCTCAAACTCTCATCTCTTAAGGATGAATTACATTGTGTTGAGATTCACGAGAAGAGAAGGAACGAAGTTATTTTTGAAACGGAAAGAACACTTTTAGAGAAAAGAGAAGAAAACGAAACTCTAAAGAGGGAGTTAAATTATCTATCAACTTCCAAAACTGATATCGAAAGGGCTTATCATGCAGTAGTTGAAGAGAAGAAGATCATTGATCGTGAATTAATGATGCTTAAAGTGAAAATGAATCATAATAACACTTCAGAGTATCATAATAAGCCGAATATTCTGCATTCAACTATGAATCCTGGGGATTATTCTAAGAATAAGATTTGGCAGAGCAACAATCATACTTATTCATCAAATATGGGAGGAAACGAAACTTCTTCCTACGTATCTCCAGAGATTGGCCATAAATTTAACAGTTTTTACCCAAACCAATCCAGGGGTAGCAACAGAGAAGACATCACTGAACAGTACGAATCAGAGGAGGAAGAAAGAAGTGAGGACCAGATCATCGAGCAATCATATGAGACTGAGTCCAACTTCGGTCCTGGAGAGGAGCTATCAATCCAAGACAAGTTAAAGCAAGTGAAAGATGCTTTTAACTCGATTAAGAGTAGCATTCACTTGAAGAATAATTAGTTTTCAACATTTTTAAGAATTGAGGGGTTTTGGGGTTTTGGGGTTTTGGGGTTTTGGGGTTTTTGGGG